CTTGAACCGCAAAATATGCACCGCGAACCCTCAGCTGCGAATCCTGAACCACGAAATCTGGATTGGCGGTTCGGGATTCGTAGTTCAGTTTTCGAGTCATAACTCATGGTTCAAGACTCACGACTCAAGATTCACGGTTCGGAATTTTGCGGTTCAGATTTCGCGGTCCAGATTTCGCGGTTCGGGATTCGCGGTTCAGATTTGACGACTCAAGATTAGCAGTTCACAATTCGCGGTTTAGGATTCGCGACTCAAGATTTGCGGTTTAAGATTCCCGGCTCAAGACTCGCGAGTCAATAGCCACATTTAAATGGAACAAGCGGGGAAAGGAATTGGCTGTGTTCACGCCCACAATGACGCAAACTGCCCTTTTAAAAAAATATGCCTTCTTGCACCCATGTGCCAAAATTTCAGACACCCAGTCTGACACACCTCAAGCAGGATTAACTTCAGTTATTTTGGGAACGTCTGTTATTCTTGTACTGACTCCACCAGAACCGTCATGAACATATGCAATTGCTCTGGGCAAGGTTAAGCAGTTGTAGGATTTTCTGGGTGGCCAATTTTCTAACAAAACCACGCTGGCCCCAGTGTACAATCCTGAGGGTCAATCTCAACAATGGTTGGTCAAAATTACTAACCCAAAAATGACATAAGCACAGTCCGTTTTTAAATATTGAATGCTCTTTATTTGTATTGAATTAAAAATATACTTTCGACAGATCCATGTAACAAAACAGAGGGGTACATCTTCACTTGTCATTTTTACGGAAATTTACCAATGAACCAGTGAAATGAAACAGTTTCTGCCCTGTAAAGTAGTTCCCGGTCATTGTATTTATTTATGTCTTTATTTTTTAAAACATGAAAAACAGATTCATAGTTCTCGTGATAGAGTTCTTTGCAAATTATTTATTGAGAACTGCTGAACTTTAATGAGCTGTAAATGGACACGGTACTATATCTTACATTAAGTTGGGTTTGCTGGCAAAATAACCTGTGCAAATATTAATACACTTTCAAATAAAAGTCGTACCAACAGTAGTAAGCTTGCCATATCAGACATTTAATTAAAACAAAATGGATAGCCACACACCCACACACCTTCCCTCCCGAAGGACATTTAAACATCATCTCAGTAGTCATTATCTTACAGTGTACCTGTATTGTGAAAAAGCACTACCCATCTCCTTCTTCACGCATAGCCTCTATTTACAACACAGGTTGTGCTTCATTCAGATTGGAAAATTGTGCACCCATGAAACGGTCTTGAAATGATAACCCTCCTGATGGGTTGGGAATGCAAATGCCTAAATGATGACACGACTCTCAAATCAATCATGAGCTCAGTAAACCTCGGTGCCCCAATTTGTAGCTCACCATTCATTCAGCTTCTTCTCAGTTGCAACTATTGGTCAAACCCAAACAGTATGTGAAACATTCTTAGTTCGATGACCGTATTTAGCATCGTGTGGTATGACGCGTGTGACTCCTTTTAAGAGGCATGTAAGCGCTCATTCAGCTTCTTCTCAGTTGCAACTATTGGTCAAACCCAAACAGTATTTTTTGAAAGACCAAATTCCATCACTATGACATTTGTTTTTTTGGGGGGAATCATGAAATGCCCCTGGGGGGGGTTGTGCCATTGTATTGCTACTGTATTGCCCCCAAATATACTCACCACTGAAAATAAAACAATGACTGAAGTCGGATTTTAAATTAGCCCAGGAAATCAAAGCTCAAATACCAGAGCATCGAACGAAAGTGTTGAGAAAAGTGAGACTTTATATATGATATCTATTAGTATTGCAAGGGCATCTTAAAACGGTACAAAATATCAGCGAGGTGAATACTCATGAGTGAACTATGACAAATATGTGAATATACTGTACATACAATAATAATAATAATAATAATTCTAAGGATAATAATAATAATGATATAAAAACTGCAAGTGAGCAAGAGCGGAGGTCACAGTTCACCAAGTTGTGCTGAAAGTACAATCCCACGATCACAGGATGGGCTAACAAGAGACCCTGCAAGCATTTTAAAAATTGGTTGAATGAGGCTTTTGTAATATGTACACATATACTGTATATGCATGGATACTTTATAGCTATTTACACCAAAGGCCCCTGCAAAACAAACAAAAAAATAAATAAATAAAAATTGTCTCGCAAATGCAACAATGCAAAAAGAAATCAAGACAAAATCCTCAGCTTGAAAAAGGCGCGTTGTTGCCGTCTGTAGAGCTGCCACCTAAGAAAATACTACCAATGTGTTTTTAATTCAACAGGAAGTGATGATCGAAACATGATCCAAAATATTTGGGAGTTAGGTTATCACAAAACTGTCGAGGAATTTTACAAGAGCACATGAGGGTAATTACTAAAAGTGTGCTTGGTCCAATGTCCCCTTTTGCAATGTATGAACGCACACTTAGAAATCACATGTGGCAGGTACACACACTTTGGATACAGTATATTACATACGCACAGAGTGTTCTTGTAAACAAACAAACAAAATAAAGTCAGCGGTTCTTTTGAATTTTTATGGCACACTGACAGCAACTCATCCGAGCTGAGCGATTTCGAGTGACCATCTTGCAGAAGTAGTACAGTATGTGCATTTCCAGTTCTTCCATTTAGACTATTTCCATGTCTTTGTGTGGAGGGGAAAAAAAGGGAGACCGTCCTTGTGATACGAAGAATCAAACCATAGAAAGAAGAAATAGATAAAAGTCAAACTTTTCCCCACTTCAGGAGATAAACCATCCAAGGTCCTCATTCACAGGCAGTTAGAGTGACTGAGATCATTTCTTTCACTTCAATGAGTGCTGAATTTTCTTCCATATAAGAGCATACAGTCATGACGGATACAATATCAACTCAGCACCTAAAATAAGAATCAAAACCATTTCCAGAACATTAAAAGATCCCATCTTGTTAATCAGTAGATACAGTACGTCCACAGAGGTGAGGTAAACAATTTTCAATGTCGTGTTTTACGAGTAGTTCAACATCAATCGTCTACGGTCGCTGTAAATTCTTCTTATCTGTAGTTTTTCTGGCTAAAACTTGCAAATGAAATGACCGTGACGCTGAATCGGGATCCCGCGAGATGGATCAAAATAAATTGGATACACTAAAAATAAAAAGAGCACTGTAACGTCTGTTTTCCTGAAGTCAGACATGAACCGTTTATAAGTACCATGGAAATGGCGGCCTCAGGCCTTGACACAGGTGAAAGCTCGGTCAATATGAAAACAAACTGTTTCTTGAACAGTTTACGAGTTTAATCAAAATATAAAATGTAACCATGGTGCTGACGATTTTTATTGCGTGCTATGAACTGGAAACAAAAACATTCCTCCGAATACAAATTCTCCTTCCTCACATTGAAAGTACAGTGTAGGTGTATATCATAAAAATGACCGTAAATCGGAATTAGTGGATGAGCGGCGCTGAAAGGAGGTTCCTGCTGTAAACAAACGATGTGACTATGAGCCAAACTTCACATTTAACAAGCGTCTTCATCTTAAAACTGACGGTTACCCCCCTTGCCCCGTTTCTGGACAACAGTGGAACCTTTAAAGTGGAACGCAATCCGTTCTGGGACGGTCCTATAGAATAGCCTGGAAATTGAATTAGCCTGCTGCCATCATACAATTTTTATTAACTGTTCGTGCAATGTTTTCACAAACATTTTATAGCCTGGAAATTGAATTAGCCTGCTGCCATCATACAGTTTTTATTAACTTTGTGCAATGTTTTCACAAACATTTTACGAAGCTCTTGCTAGCTGAAGTAAAGTGAAATCTTATGATGTGACAGTTCGGCCTTTTTCTTTTTTTTTGTGACATTTTGAACATATTCTGGTTTTGAAATGGTACAATTTTTGGACATTTGAAAGTGTTTCAGCTGTCACTTCTTCAAGCAGTTGTATTTGCTACACATATTTCTACACCTGAAAGGTAAAACAGACGAATGACACCTGTGATCAACACAAAGTTGTTGCGCCATAATACTGCTGAGCTTTCGTGACACCGATGCAGTGGTGAGGTCACGTTTCTAGAATGCTAATACGTTAGCCTCATACTCGCCGTGACAACAACCTATTGGCTCTTGACGAGGGTTTTTGGAGTGGGTGAGATGTCGGGGAACACAATTTTCCGCTCGGAACAACAAGGAAATGTGGATGAAGTAGCATTGAAAAAGCTAAAAGCCACTTAGCCGCAAGAGTGCCCCCACTGGTTTTGTCTTCCACAAGATCGGCTTTTCTTTCCATTGAGATCCATTAGGGAGCTTTTTGCTGACTCTCAACTACTGTCACTGATGTACTTTCACACACACACACACACACACACACACACACAGGAGGGGTAATAACACTGTATAGCGGATGGCAAAAATTGGCTTATATAATTCGCAGAGCAAATGACATCCCCATGTCACACACATTGACATGAAAAACTTTGAATAGAAAATATGGACTCGGCCTTTCTTTGGAGCTAGAAAAAGTAGAACAGAACATTTGAGGTCCTATCTTCAATATTTTCCAAGGCCGAAAGGCATGAGAACAAGAAGGAAAACACGATCGTGGAAAAGGTTACCTTATACGCGTTCACATTTGAGCCATGCCAGTAATCCTTTCGAATCTCTCCGCCAGACTTTAAGTTCACTTTCCACAAAATGGCACCGAGATTTTTTTCATGGTGACAATTTCTGCGCACAGCACCTACGTCATTGCAGAAGATTGTATCGGAACACTGTGTATTCATTCTGAAGGTTAATGGCGCTTCTCTTGGAAAATCCGTTTTAGGTGGCAACGTATATGTGAATGCGCTTAGTTCTGAATTCATGTTTGGAGATTTTATTGGCATGTCAAGGCTGTGAAGAACAATAATGCTTGTGATAAATATTTGAAATCCATGAGTGGTGCAGCAACATGTGAAAGACGTGTGTGGGTTTGCAACATCTGGGCTTCAGCATGACTGCAGCTTTTTTTTTTTTTGCTGGCAAGTCACGACAACTCTGCGGGCTTGCATCACTTTTGCGGGCTACACACAAGCAATGCCAATGTGTGCTTGCTGCCACGAGATGAGTTCAGCTCCGTGGGAAGTAGTCACAAAAGGCGACGGGGATTATTAGCTTGTGATTATGAAAGTAGAAGTGTAATGAATCAGTCATGGCAATAATCCTCTCTTTGGGCTATCCACTGGATTTGGATCGTGTCCTCTATAACAAATCCATACTTAATTACAGATTACTTTTGTGTCTCCGGACCTACTGCAGTAAGGGCTGGCCTTGTTGCGCTCGAAAAAAAAAAGAAAAGAGAACATAGGGAGTGAGTGAAAGAAAAGAACTAGAGACATTTTGTCATACTGCTAATGTAGCACTCTCGGGACATGCCGAGGCTTTGAGCCACGATGAAATCACGGAGGCGTTCACACCGCGTTTAAGAAGAATCCAGTTTGAGAATGTGAGGGTAGCGCCAGGTTCGTTCTTCTCCACGGCTTCGGCCCTCTTTTTGCGTGCTACAGGTGGGTGACTACACCACAGTGTTCCTCTGTCTGTAGGGAGGGGGCGGTAACACATTGCCGGCTTTCATGGCCGCCTCCGACAAGTATTCCTGGTTTTCAGCAACGGCAGGGCGGATGCGTCCATTTTGTCTGTAGAAGAAGCGTGTGCTGCAGTCCTGCAGGTACTCCGGGTTGTGCAGAGTGCTTTTCGGAGGGAGGCTGTGCTGCCAGTATTCAGGATTGTCAAAAGCAGCCTTCTTGCCTTTCTTATCGAACATGACGGTGCCGCCGGTAATGCCTGAGTGCAGAGCATGTCCCGAATGCCCCGGATGCAGGGTGTGGGATGGATACGCCGGGTGGGGGAGGTGGCCAGGGGCCAGCACGTATCCGGAGGTGGGGACTGCGTGGCTTGATGTTGATTTGCTAACCGTCTGTGATACCGTTTGGGGAGTCGATGTCCCCGGTACGGCGAAGGAGACGGCCGAAGCTAATCCGTTCTTGTCCCCGGTGTTAAGGAAGGTATTCAGGTAAAGCGGCTCGTTGACATACTCATCGTTCCTGTGGGCGGAGTGGCTGCCGGAGGTGGCAGCGGCAGAAGCGGCCGCGGCAACGGCTCCGGCCATGTGTAGAGTGCGGCAGCCTCCACCGTCAACCACTGCATGGGCTTCTCCGTTTTTGCGACGTGCAATGAAAGGGTTTTCCTCAACAGCGTTGATGTGCTCTGAAAACAGGAAGAGGATTTAGAGGGGTTTGGATCTATTTTGATCAATCTCAGTGACCGTATTTTCTGCACTATATGGCACACCTAAAAGCATTCAATTATTTCGAAAGCCGACAGTGCACCTTATAATCTGATGTGCCTTATATATGGATCAATATTCTGATTTCTTGGATGGAATATTTCAAATGTTCTGTAAAGCGCTTTGCTACAGCGGTTGTGAAAGCTCGACATGGATAAAGCTGTATTGTATTGTATTCGCTTTAGCATAGCGCCATCTAGTGGATGCATAATGCAACTGCAGCCACTATTATAGCTTTGATTCTATGCGCCTTACAATACGGTGCACCCTATATATGAAAACAGTTTTCAAATAGGCCATTTATTGAAGGTGCGCCTTATACTTCGAAGCCTTCTAGTGCGGAAAATACGTTAATCTTTGCTGTAAGTCAAAACAATTGCGAGTTCGATACTCCGGCAGGATACAGTGTGACTAAATATGGGGAATATGTTGAAATAGTTCTGACGGCTTTTTTTTTGGGTGCAGAATCCAAAACTGATCTGTGTGTTTACGCATGACTGTGAAAGTAACCTGAACTCTTCCTCTCTCTCATGGCCGTCGCGTATGGATCCTGCTCCTTCTCCCCCTTGGCTCCTCGTTCTGCAAGAAGAGCAGTTGGGTCCGCACTGTAACGCTGTCCACTGCATTCCTCACACGCGCCTATTGAAGCACACACACACAAAAAAAAAAGATGGAAGGTTTAAATGACACAGACACACATCCTGTCATAAAATATGATCATTCTTCGCAGTCCCACTCTGTATTACCTTGTCCTGTAGAAAGTGCTGATCCAGCCACAAGGACGCTTGATCTCGGGGAGGCCTGCTTCCTTAAAGTGCCGTTACATCGGGGATCCTCCTGTTTGGCGCGGACAAATCCACCACCAGTCTGCCCTCCCGAGGCCAGGTCCTGGGAAACGAGGCAAGCGCCACTCACGGGCGGAACCGAGACTCCTCTTGGGAGGGTGGCTATTGTGTCCTGCCGGCTAAAATTTGGATCCTGGTAGCAAAACTGGTTTTGAGAGAAAATAGGAAAGGATTAATGAGAAAGAATTTTAGATGAAATAAATTGTGAAAAAAAAATGTTCAGTAGGAATGTATTGTTTGAGTAGAAAATTAAATCATCATTTGAGACAAGCAATGCCAAACAATAGCACTTAATTAAATAACACAACAAAGCACAAAGTCTTAAAAGTATCCAGGAGCAGATAATGCTGATTTCTGTCTTCCATTATTCAGCTTGGTTTGTTTTCAGTTGTTTTGCCTCATTGCTTCCCTGACAGTATTTCCTGTACTAGCTCTAATCTGCTTGAAACGCAATTTATTTTTCATTCTCCCGAGTCACCCATAACACTTCTGTACAACATGAGAAAAAAATCTTCATGGACAGAAGCAAATCTAAAGTATCTTTTAAAATTACACAAGAGGCAAATGGTGTTGAGAGGGCGCTATACTCGGCAAGCAGTTAAACACAAGCAAGATTATTTCCTTCTCGCGGATGGATCGCGTCGTGTGGTTTGCCTGCAGCTATGAGAGGAAACTCCTCTGTTTGTGCTGTGCTCTAATCTATCTGTCCCGCACAAGTTCTCATTTTCACCCTTCCCTCTTTCAGCTTCAGAGTTTACCCAAAAACTTTATACACCCATATATTAATACCTGGCGAAACATGCCTATCAGTATAATGACAGTGCTACCTCTACTTATGAACGTCTCTTCATACGAAATGTTCAAGTTACGAAACAGCTCAACAGGAAAATATTGCCTCTTGTTACGAAAGAAATTTCAAAGAAATACTCGCAGCTCCGAGTTTCCTGAACGCAATATAATTATAGATGCTCTGCCATTGGCTATTACCCAGCATCATCCTGACATCCCCATTGGCTAAGAGGGACCTCTACCGTATGTGTCTGATAGTTTGACGTAAATGTGAATCACCCAGAAGAAAGTGTTCAGCAGTCGGGCGATTGCTCACTATGCTGATGTTTGCCTTGGACATTTTCGAAGGATTGTTAGAAGCCGACAAAAGCAAACGTCCTTGGATCAGTTCTTTACAAAACCAGGCAAAAACCACTTCTGAGAGGGAACATGAACAAAAGAGGGCAAAAGGCGATGAGGACGCAGTTAAAAGTGAAATGACGATTATTTTTATTCTTTATTCTTTGTTTTTACATTATACACAACTCTCATTTATTGCGCAATAATCTAATTGTAACATGTATTTGTTACATATTTTGATGGATTTTTACGCTTTAGAAAACATTTATGTCTGAATTTTGGGGGGGCTTGGAACGGATTAGGGCATTTACATGGAAAACGCGTCTCTACTTCCAAAATTTGCTAGTTCAAAAATTTCTTCCAGAACCAATTAATTTCGTAAAGTAGAGGTACCACTGTATATTCAGTTCGCCCACAGCCTTTCTTCCCTGTCAATAAAAAAAAATCCCTCTGTTTGAAGGTGATTGGATGCAATACCTTGCTGGGGTCCATGAGGGTTTGTGAAGTGTACGTCAGAGGTGGGATATTGAGGGAGTGGGGCACCACATACTCCTCAGCATCCATCAGGTCTTCCAGCTCCTCTTCATCCAGGAGACTTTGAAAGAACTTGCTATCGTTGGGACTAGGCAGCTTCATTCGGTCGTCCCCCTAAGAAAAACGGATACGATGAGTTCAGTCAAGATGTCACCAGAGTTCAAATGTGTTCTCAGATTAAGAGCTCCAGCCTCGCTGAATTAACTATGTCAAAACAATGATTACCTCTGATAGAATTTCCCCTCGGTGATCCTCGGGGACACAAACGCAATTAAGTGTGACAGTTGTTAAGTTGACAAAAGGGAGCAAGCGGACGCAGTTTGCCAAAGAAATACATATTAATTATGTCATCCTTTTGAAATGACAGAACGTTTTACTGTAGTCCAATGTGCAGGACTAATTATATAGATAAATAGATAGAGAGAGACAGAGAGAGAGAGAGAGAATGGATAGGAAAAGTACATTGTGTTAGCTAAAACGGTCTCCCCAACACTTTTTTCCACTGTATAGATAGTTATGTGAAGGGAAGTTTATGACGGTTATTTTTCCAGCGGAGGTAAGTGGTTTTCAGGGATAAAAACAGCTTGAAATAATCAATTATATTGACCTTCTTGACAGAATACATATTTGAAATCCATCCATGTTTGAGTTGCTTAATAGAGTTGAAAGGAGGAGTTGGCTGGTGGACATCTTCAGTATCTAGTTTACTTTCGATTATATTCATGCATATTTATCAAGAGTGCATGGGGATTACTTCAACCTCTCTAAAATGAGTTAACGTAGGTGCAATATCACGACTCCGTTTGTAACGATGGAGCGTTTGACTAGATGAGATCCAATAATGCATGTCTCGCATAGCCTTTTGCTCTGAATGATAATCTGGACGAAAGGGGAGATCTGTTGGGACCTGGCTTGACAGTACACCTCTGGAAAGCTACTTCTCACTTTTCTCTTCTTCTCAACCCAGATCCTGGGCATATATATGGCTTCCGTCTCGAGCACAGGTGTCAAACTCAAGGCCCGGGGGCCAGATCTGGCCTGCTACATCATTTTATGTGGCCCCTCCGAAAGAAAATCATGTGTGCATTTTCCTTACTAAAAAAAAATGTACCGAAATGTCAAATTGTCGTGTGTAATAAATGATATTGAGATTTTGCAATAATTTCGTTACCCTTACAAGTAATAATGCGAGAATGCAATGAAACATTTTTTGTGGTTTCACTGTCATAACGGCCCTCCAAGGGAAGATGTAACTCAAAAGTGACACCCCTGGTCTAGAGTACTTCAAGTGATGAGGTTAGGGTCACCTATGGCATTGCATCATACACGTGGGGACACATTTTTAATGCTAAAATACGGTCGGAGTTGAGTATCGCAACGTATGTTGCCATTTTCCCCAGCAACAACATGTCGCTTGATTTTAATTCTGTTCATTAAGGTTCGGCGCGTCACTTGTGACTGAAGCGGTGCGGCCCAACGGTCTTGAAGACATACTTGAATAACGAGGTATCTCTGCGGATCACGGGCCATCCTGGTGAATTCTGCTGCCAGTTCTCTGAACTTGGGTCGGCTGTCTGTGTCAATCATCCAGCCTGGAAGAATTGCAGGATAATCATGTTCAGTTTCAATGCACGTATGGGAAGAAAAGCATTTGGAAGCTGAAATTTTTTTATTGCAAAAAAATACAGAAAACGTATTTTGATGGAGTAGTAAGTGGACCTTATTTAAAAAGAGTGTGTTTATATTGACGCTATTTTCATGATTGGTGTAAATTCTTCACGACGTGTAGGACCCAAAATTGGTCATATCACAGACAAGTGCAGGCGGGCAGATCTGCGAGAGGGTGGGCTGCACCGCTGTGGGATTGCTCACGGACGATTTCAATCATTGCCCATCAAAGTGTCTCCTTTCATTCTCTTTAAACGCGGCTCACGAGTTGCACACTCCAGTCCCGACATGGCGGAGGGCACAACTTCGCTGTGAAGTGGGCACTTGCAAACCTCCCCCGCCAACCAACCCTGATCGGTCTTTTAAAAAACAGAGAGCTTAACGTTGACGTATGCACATGGTTCAAACTATGTCAAATTTTTGCTACGGGGACAATGTCAGTTCCGATTCATTTGAGGTATAAAAGGAAAAGCCGTAGACGGCGCCCACATGGTTTCATTTAATCAACAAGACAGAATATGCGACAGAATATGCGGTGGAAGATAAGAAGTTGATTCTATGCGGAAGCCGTGCCATCTAATACACGTATAAAAAAACAGTAGAAAGCTTTTTTCTCTCTTGGAAAATGATGGACTTTCCTGTTAGTGGCTTGAGCATATGTCGAAGCACATTTATAATGTTCTTCGGAGTTGTGTGTATTGCGATGCGACGACCCTCCAGATAGGTGACGGTGACCTCATCCCGCTGTGAGTGCGTGCCTGCTTGCCAGGTGGCTGCTGGATCAAGGTGTCACCAAAAAGCAAGGTGACTGGCAGGACCAGAGCCCGCAGGCTGAGGTGAGACTGGCATGAAATCAGAGCTTTTTTTTTTTTTTTTTGCCAGGATCATGCCAGGGCAGGGGTGAACAATCCATGAAGCCAACGTGTTAGAGGTGAGGTTACGGACAGTTCGAGTGGATTATGTTGCACTCCTTACAAACTTTTTGGTTTCAACTCACAAATTCAGTTGTGCTAGTCAAAACAATCCTACAATGGCATTTAGTGTCAGCGAAGGAAACGAGACCAAGTGGGAAACAGATCGCTGAGTAAGTCAGTCTAAAGAGCAGATGCAGCACTGATGTCTGTGCATGTCAGTGAGAGGGCTCATCTTTGAACGAGAATGTTGCTGTTCGTAAGTTGCGGTAGATTTGTGTCTCTAACAGAACGGCTGAACAACAAAACAGCCTTCCGCACATAACTAATGCATGCGCGTGGTCATAAATCTTCCCAAATGAGGACGTACATTTGACTAAGACCATGTAGACGTCAATGGTGCAGATGGGCGGCTGTGGGAGACGCTCCCCTTTCTCCAGTAGTTCTGGAATATCTCTGGTTGAAATTCCATCGTATGGCTTCCCTCCAAAGGTCATCAGCTCCCAAATTGTTACCCCTAAAAGAAATCAGATGATTGTTGATTTAAAAAAAAAAAAAAGATTCAAAGAGAGGAAAAATATGGGACATTCCCCCAAAAATAGAGGAAATAAACAGAAATAAAATAAAATGTGCATTATTTGAAAGGCGTGAGAATTTATATAAAAGAAAAAAATGCAGAGAATCACAGAAACTGACAGGATGCATCGAAATGATTCCACGAATTAAAAAAAAAAAAAATCCCAGAAGTATTCTATCCATCTGCATGTACAGTATGTCATGAATCTTTTACTAATGCAAATCACACATGTATTATTCATTGGCAACACAATTCTTATTATTTTTTTGAAGGATCTGTATGAACCGTAAGTAAATGCGTAATAAAACACATAATTTAGCGCTTGTTGAACAGTAGTCCCACATGCGATCTAAATCTCACATCATGCAATCTTACCGTAACTCCAAACATCACTTTGATGAGTAAACTTCCTGTAATGAATACACTCCAGGGCCATCCATTTAATGGGCATCTGTCAGGGAGAACAGTGACGCATGACTTCCCGCACACCAGGGATTGTCGCTTTTCAATGAATTTGACTGGCAACCGATGAACACGTTTGATTATGTAAAATTAAGAGTTACAGCAGAGGTGGAGAGCTCGCTGAGTCATATGTCTTCTTCTAAGACAGTGATCGGATTTTTACTGTCGTATTTTTTTGTGGAATGGAAACATTACATGGTGCTTTATGAGACACATTTGCTGTTTGGTGTTCATCAGGCCAAATTTTGCCATGTAAAAAACATCCGTATAAATTTGCTACCCGATCGGACAACATGACGCTGTCTACCGACGCTTGTTTATTTTCATTGTAGTATTTGCATTCAGCTTAATGTAAAAATGGATTTGCTGCCAGATACGGTTGGAGCAATCGCACCAGAGTCAGAAACAATTTTGTCAATCATGAAGCAGGGTTATAATAGTTTGGGATTTTTCATGACCGATATGTTTTTATTTCATTTTGATTTTTGATTCGGTTAGTTGTCATTAGTTTTTGAAGCATGTTTGTTATTATTATTTTTTGGGGGTGGAAATTTCTTAATTTAGTTTTTATACTTTTTTCTTTTTTTTTTTTAAATATAGGCCTATGGTGTATTTGTCAAGTGTTTGTTTTTATACTTTTTTCTTTTTTTTTTTAAAATATAGGCCTATGGTGTATTTGTCAAGTGTTAGTTTTTATACTTTTTTTCTTTTTTTTTTTAAATATAGGCCTATGGTGTATTTGTCAAGTGTAACATCAAAAGGATCGTTACGTGTTGTGTAATAAAGTAAAGCAAACTCTGACCTTCCTTCTTCTGTACACGTGTACAGAATTCCCAAAACACATTTAAAGTGAACCCCAAAAGCTCATGTAAGTTATTCGGTAAATTGCCAAAGACGTAAAGACATTTTCACTATATCGTTTTTTTTTCTTTTACATAAAATATAGTCGGTTTGTTTTTGTTTTTTCTAAAAGCATTTTTGTTTGCATTTTATTTCGTTGAAAATTTTTTTTGTTTTTGTTTTTTTTTTTGTTTTAAGAATAAGAAAAACCTTTATTCGTCTCACAATGGAGAAATTCCCAATTTACAGCGGCAAAGTTATGAAAGGAAGAAAGTAGAAGAACAAAATATTGGAGCTGCTGTACAAGCAGCCACTCTTGCGGCGCCATCCTGAAGTCAAAATAACAACAAAATAATACAACACAACACATAAGACACAGTCAGTCATTCAATCTTAACCACTTTTCCGCATACTTCTGTTGTTTGAAGCAGTTATAGATGAAAGAGGAGAGGATCAAAGTGTCCTTTCACCAGTGGATCAGGGACATCATGCTGAAAATGTTCTATTGTTAGTTTTGCGTGCCTTGTGAGCACCTCCTAGGGTTACTGATTACTGCATCCCCTCAAGGTTATCATTGTTTGCATCCACGCAAGAATACAGGTGGGCAAGGAGATCTGTCACTCAGTAACACATTCGAGCTGTTTGTTTACCTTGCGCGAATGTGAACATTTATCATGATTTACCTTTCCTCCATCTGCATTATATTCCTTCTCATTGACGTCAAGCAAGCGGGCTAAGCCAAAGTCGGTGATCTTGATATGGTTGGGAGATTTCACCAGGACGTTGCGGGCTGCCAGATCCCTGTGGACCAGCCGACGCTCCTCCAGATACATCATCCCCTGCAACACACGCGTGGACATGTACAGTACTTTATATTGCACTTTATTTACATGCAACACCCGGCGCATGCAAACATCAATATGTACTTGCCGTGACCTGCGCAAATAAACCCGCGCGAGACTGAATCCTATTCAACATCGCCGTCTGTCTTCGCCATCCCCCATCACTGTAATGCGATGCGACCGTCGAGACCCCATTAGCTTTTTCATAATTATTGCTGTAATTATCATTACTACCACACTGTTATTTTCATGCAAATTCTCATCAATCAACAAGCCAACTGTGGAAAAGACCCTTGAAATAGTAAAAACCGCAATAACAACAGCCTCCATAATGTGTCAAAACAGAGTAGGCTTTTCAATTAACTCCGGATCCATAGGAGCAAGAAAGCCATTTCAATCAGTACATTTAATAATAAATCAAGAAACCATCCAGTTTCACATTGTCTCTGTTCCAAAACTCAATTAAAAAAAACATTTTTTTAAATTACCAACCTAATAAAGGCAAGCAAAAGTGCTTTGATGAAGTTGCCTTGGTTTATTATGTTTGGTACTTACACCAAATATGATTATTTGTCAAAAGTCCTAAAACTGGTGGAACACTCTCCATAAACAGAAGATCTTTAACATTTTTTTTTAATGTGCAGAACATGTGTGGTCACAGTATACTCATTGACACAATCTGAGAAATTTGGGAGAAAGCGGAAGCGCGTTTTATGTAGCAGAATCAAGCGACAATATATGCTGTACACAACTACATCGCATTGGCTTCACCATTTTGTTTTGCGGAATTTGCAGTCTTTTACATAATCACACTGAGCAACCGAGTAACGAGAACAACTTTTGTATAAATAAATAAATAAATACATAAATAAATAAATAACATCTCATTTCTCTTTAGTGACCAGCCAGGATTATTTTACGTAACAATTTACCAAATTCAATACCTCGAGTTGCTTATTGAAGAAAAAGTCACCAGTTCCAGCAATGTCAGGGGACACGTCCTCTGGGGACGGGTGAAAATGTCACCACAATGCTGTCTTTGTCCCGGGCCAACCGCCACTTTCGGAAAAACTGACTGACTGATCAATAAACCGACTTGTCACTCTTCATCCGTGGTGCTGCATAGCTGAGGCGAACTCATAGCTGTTTCTATTATTATGATTTTATTTTTTAAAAATTTGGGAGCGTTAACCATCCTATGAACACATGTTGACAATATCTGACAGCCCAAGGTCTGTAATTGCAGGAAATGTGCATGTAGGACAAGGAGCCAAGAGCCAGTGAACATTGTGTTTCACCCAAGTGTGTGTGGGGGGGGGGAAAAAAATCCACAGGCTTGAGCCATGCTCGATATCACACCTCCAAATACACACGGCCTTTAAATCTCCGGGGATCAGGCATGGAAAGGCAGCAGAAAGAAGAAATAACACAACTTGGAATCCAAGCGAAGTGTCATCATATTTTACCAAGACGTCCGGGTTCTGTTCACCCAGCATTGTCACAATCTATTTTTTTTTCCATCAAAAATATGGTGCATATTTGACTATCTAAAAGCTTTACTACTACAGTATATGAAAGAAATAAATTGGAGGAAAAAAAGTGTGACCTGTCTGGATACTTTGTGCTCAGCCATCCTTTTTCAAAAAGTAAAGAGAACAAGCCCTCCTCGAAAAATGTGACCTGCAGTCAAACAGTTATTTACGCTTAATGCGCTGAGTCAAATGGAGTCACGAGGAACAAAACCCAGGCTCAACAATATTTTCTCCCAATGTGTTTTGGAAAGACAGATGTGGCGGCGAATGAAGTGAAGGGCCCGAGATCAAATCAATAGCAGGAGAGAGTGGCGAGGTAGCACTTATTCTTCACCACCTGGCACTTCCCATTGCAGTTAATTCTGACAAGAAAATAAATACACAGAGGGAGCTGTCAAGACACTCGAACGGCGCACTCACCAAAATGTATAATCAAGCGATTCATCCCGACGGCACGTGATTCATGAGGAAACACTTCTAATGAGATGGAACACTCGCTGTGAGCATGTACTGGAGGGGCAGTGGTGCGGGGGGTTGGCGACTCTGACTGGGAATAACTCTTGATGGCAACTTTATCTAATGTTTTTTCAACCTCAGCAGGCCAATAGTCTGATTTGTTAAATAATCCGAATAACTACAACGGTAAGCATATTAAATGTCATTCTCTTTGACGGCATAGAAATCGGCTATTGTTTTTCTTCAAGCTCTTAGACTGAATGGTGAAGAGTTCAACCCGAGTAAAACATGAGACATAATTAGCTTACACAATCAAAAGAAGAATTTTTGGGGACGAAAGCTATTTGCCGAGATCAATGGATAAAAGTTCTTGGACATGGAAATCCATGTCAACAAAGGACATAAAAGCTACCGTATTTTCCGCACAATAAAGCGCACCTAAACGCACTTAATTTTCTCAAAAGCCGACAGTGTGCCTTATAATCCGACGTACCTTCTGTACGGATCAATATTCTGATTTCTTGGACACAATATTTTAAATGTCCTGTAAAGCACTTTGCTACAGCGGTTGTAAAAGCTCCATACAAATAAAGCGTGTATTGTATTACCTTTCGGGTAGCTTCACCTAGTGGATGCATAACGCAACTGCAGCCACTATTGTAGCTTCTATTCTATGCGCCTTATAATGCGGTGCGCCCTATATATGAAAACAGTTTTAAAAGAGGCCATTCATTGAAGGTGCGCCCTATACTCCGAAGATCCTTATTGTGCGGAAAATACGGTACTTCTTGATTTGCCCATGAAGTAAAAAAAATTGGAGAACTATAGAAAGTCGATGTGTGGATCTTTAGCATGGAGTTTACACCGTACAAACACTTCAATTAGTTTACTTGAAACCTCTTCATGAAAGGCACAGTTTAAAACGCAGCTTCTGGAGTGGATCTAATTTGATTGTGCAGATACAATATACTGTAGCTAATTTCATGGCTGGCCACTTGAAATCAAATTAATAAATCACCCTGTAGGTTTAATCCTTTAAAAGCAAAAGAGCTTTTGTAGAACCACCAAAGATTTTTTTTCTTTCAAACCGCCGAGCTGAATTGGTGTTTTAAATTTTATTTTAGCAAAAATGCACACTTCCTTACCAGGAGCTAAGGATTTCAAACCATGTGAAAAGAGTCTGGGGGGGACTACAAACAAAATCTAAAAATAATGACAACAACCCAAGGCTGCAGAGAAAGGTACAAGGAAGGACATGTGGTTGATGCACAACATACATCCTCTTCAATGATGAACAGTTTCTGAGTTGCGACTCTGCTTCAACCCAGATTTGTTTTTCCCACATAATTATATTTAAAAAAAAAGTTTATTTTAATCACCATATGACTAAGAATATTGACCAATAGAAAAAGTGAACACAGGTAGCCACGGCTAACATTGGACGGCGAGGATTTGGCTTGAGACAGTTTAGCTAGCTGTCACTAGCTTCCGCTGACGAACTCCAATCAGCTCGTAGCAGTTTTTTTCCTTCTCTCTTTGTTTACCTATGTTAAGTGTCTAGGGATTATGCCAACAAATTGGATTCAATATTACGAAAATAATTCTTACAATCATACAGATGGTAGCTCGCGATTCAACATTCTCTTTCTTAGCGACAGTCCATCTGAATGGGCATCCTAATTGTGTTGCAAGCAGTGTTCATCTTCTTTCGAGCCAATCTGACGGCTAATTTAGAGCAACATATCTGCAATTTGTGATGAATGGAAATTTTTTTCCCACGCAGGACAAGGAAAAAGCACAACTGATCTTTCTGCATGGCTAATATTTAACTTATCGAAAAGAGCGCATTAACCAAGGTAGAATTTACGTCTGTAACCCGATTTGTTCAGAAACCAGGGAGTCGCTTCTGTATTTGAATTGCCTCATTTACCTTTTTTTTCCCCCTAAAGGATGACAATATTTCTCGAAGGCACCGGATGTTGCGTTACTATTTTTGTGCGATCATATGACGAGTGAGCATTACTAAAGATTTGTGGCATCAGTGCAACGTTTGCCTGATGTAGTACGTGCTAAATGAATGCTACGGATATAAAAAGATCCCAGTGGGCACGGTGAGCGGGTGACTCATTGTTTAAGGAATGAGGTGTGACAAATCAGACCAACATGGAGGAGAAACAGAAAGGATTACACAATACTGATGAAAGCAGTCTGCTTTTCTTTGGGTTTGAACCACTGTGTCAGAGTGGATTTAAATAACGACGTTGGGGGACAGCTTAAATATGAAGCAGCAGACTAGGTAAGCAGGGAGTGCGAGGGGGAGACTTTGTGTGTATGCATTTATTCTCTCTGATGAATGCCCAATGCAGCAGACACTCGCGAGCCGACAGCACACAGGCTGTAACGGTGTTCTTGCCGGTATCTGATCATCACTAATTTATGATCTTTACAGCTAGACCCTAATATTACTAAGTATAGGATCATTGGAAAACATTCTTACATTAATCATTCAGAAAATTGATTAGCTACACCATCGGAGACCAAAGACTTTTGGGAATCGAGAACCAAGAAAAGACAGAGAAAAGCAGAGAACAAAACCAAACCCGTTTCAAAGGTGCATCGGATTATAAAGCACAGTGTCGGCTTTAAAGAAAATGGAATGCTTTGAGGTGCGCCTTATAGTGCGGAAAATACGGGTATTTAAATGATACATCTTGTAACGAAAAGATCAGATCAACGTAACAGAACAACGGAACTGAACAGTCACCAGACCAAAAAACGAGAAAGAACAAACGCAGGAAAGAGCATTCAGAAAATTTGGGGGGGGGATGCACGTGCGGGTTCACACAGACACTCTGTGATCCAGACATTTTTCGCGTCACGTTACTACTCCTGCGCGGCTGCTGCCAGACTGTTGGGTGTGCCAGGCCCCCGCAGGCACATTGGGGATCAGGTGGCACATTCAAACCACGAGCCAACAACATGACCTTGTCCTGGAAAGGCTGCTCGAGC